GGGTTTTGTATTAGGGCACGGGCAATAGCAATACGTTGTTTTTGTCCTCCCGATAATTGAGAACCTCTTTCACCAATGGTGGTTTTATAACTCTGAAAAGAAGAATTTAAGGGAAGTAAATATAAACGGTTCTTGGTTTTAAGGGGTATAGAACATAAGGGATTCCAAAAATAGGTTTTCATTGCCGAACAAGCTGAATAGTTTAAGTGTCTAAGTTTCTGTTATTTAATATTAAAGGACTATAAAGAATATAAGAGAAATTGGATCTAAAATATCGTATGATTTATAAATGAAGTTCGGTTTTGATGGAATAATGTGATCAGATCCCGAGCTCATGTACATTTGGTAAATCGATCCCAGCGAGCAAGTTAATCCAGATTTTCCATTGTTATAGTGAATAGTCTGAGTGAACTTCCTAGATCAAGAAAGTAAGGTAAATATGGTTTCCGCCTCACTTGAGTCCAATCATAGGTCTCTTTGTTGGATTCCTTATCCAACGGGTTCAATAAATCGTACAGGACGTTGTCTAAATATCTTTCTGGCAGACAGGAATTGTCTATTTATGTATGAGTTCTTGAAGTTCTCAAAGGTTCTGATGCATTGAGAACTTTGTGGCCAATATACAATAATACTGCCTCCGTTCCTCGGATCAAGTAAGGTACAGAAAAATCTCGGTCCGAAACGTTAACCAGGATTTTTTACAAAAATTAAATTAGGTTTCCGTGAAAAGATGTGAAAAGATTTTTAGTATTGAGAGATTTAATATTACTGGACTATTTTTTCTGGAACTATTGAACGAGATCGGTAACCTCGATATTGAGAACAATGAAGTCTAGTTTTGATGGAATGATGTGAGTGGATCTTCAAAATCAAGGGATGTGCTACCATTGGATTGAATGTGATAAGATCGACTAGATCGTTTTATTTAACACTAAGAGATTTTCGTTATCATCGTACTTACATCTGGTAAATTGGATATAAATTCATGAGCTCCAGCAGCTTTGGCGGCTGCCTCAATTTCCTTTTGTGTAGCTTTAGGTTTGCCATAACTAATATTCTCAGCTGAAATGATCATCAAAAGAAAATATAGATGATTACAAACTAATCTATACCAAACTTACCTATAGTACCCAAAAACAAAACCGGCTCTTGACCTACAATAGCCATATTGGAACGCAACCATTGTATATTATATTTACGTATATCCAAATCATCCAGTAAAACAGAACCAAAGACAGGATCATAGAAACGCTGTAACAATTGTATACAAGTAGATTTGCCACAACCCGAGCTGCCCACCAAAGCCACCGTAGTACCCGCCCTAATTTTGATATTTAAACCACGATGAACAATAATATCAGGACGTGATGGATATCTAAAGAAAACATCAGAAAATTCAACATCGCCTCTCAAACCATAATTTAAAATTTTGCCATCAGTTGACATGGGATCTATTTTAGATTGTGAATCAATAACTTTAAAAATAGTCGAAGCACAGCCACGAGCCATGGCAAAGGATTCCAGGAAGGGAGTAGTTCTAGCTATATTATCAGCACCAATAATAATGCCAAAGAAGGCCTAATAAAAGAGAAATATTAATAATGATTCACATTATTATGTACTTAATCCCTACAATCATCAATATAGCCGGAGTATATTCCTTTTCCTCTTTATCACGATCATTGATGATCAAATTTACTCCATACCAAAATGCTCCGGCACAGGAGAGAAACAGCATACTTTTTAAAACCCCATCACTTAGACCCGAAAAGGCGCCTTTACGCTGACTGGCTTTACGTGCCGGTACTAGAAAATTATCATAACGTTCGGATTCTTTCTTCTCGCCACCGAAGGACACTACAGTACGTAAGGCATTTAAGACTTCCTCTACCAAGTTACCAGCATTACCATAAGACTCTTGCTCTTTGGTAGTTAGTTTACTTTGGAACTAAATGGCATTAAAGAATTAACAATGTAAGGGAATTAAAATTAAGAGATCTGTCTAGTTCTTTACAATATATTTATTTTCCGATATTTCGATATCCTTTGGATATCATTTTCAAGTAATATCTATGTATTTTTGTTAAAGACGTCCAAGTATCTTCACCTTTAACATTACATTCAAATAGGAGCGTGCTTGGACGTCGACATATTGGAAAATCAACAAATAATATATTTTAAAAATCGGTTACTTACCCTGGCCACCACTATATTAAGAACAATAACTATGGGTATATAAACACTAACGGCCAAAGTCAACTTCCAACCATAGGCGAAAGAAATCGCCACTGTGATCAAAAAACCTATTACCAGATAAATAAAATGACCCACTTTTTCTGAAATACCATCGCGAATCTTTTCCACATCACTGCAAGTAGAATAATTAATTTATAGAAAATTTATAATTCTTTCTAACATACTCTGTCATATTTTGGGCAAAGTTTTGTTTCGTTGCCAAATCGTGCCATCCTATATCTTGTCTCATTACCGCTTGAAAGAGATTGATGCGCATACGGGTCACTTGCCTTAAAGCGACCAAATTGAAAATATCTACAGAGAATATGCCCGATATAAACATTACGGCCGAAGCTATTGTAAGTAAAATGCCATACGCTATGGAATCATTATAAAGTTCAGCATTGTTGACTTCTTCCGATTCGTAGGATCTAAGGGAATGGAGGGAATTTAAAAATTAATGGTTAAATTTTGGAAAAGTTAGTTAGTTGGTTAGTTAGTTAGTTAGTTAGTTAGTTGGTTGGTTAGTTAGTTAGTTAGTTAGTTAGTTAGTAGTTAGTTAGTTAGTTAGTTAGTTAGTTAGTTAGTAGTTAGTTAGTTAGTTAGTTAGTTAGTTAGTTAGTTAGTTAGTTAGTTAGTTAGTTAGTAGTTAGTTAGTTAGTTAGTTAGTTAGTTAGTTAGTTAGTTAGTTAGTAGTTAGTTAGTTAGTTAGTTAGTTAGTTAGTTAGTTAGTTAGTTAGTTAGTTAGTTAGTTAGTTAGTTAGTTAGTTAGTTAGTTAGTTAGTTAGTAGTTAGTTAGTTAGTTAGTTAGTTAGTTAGTTAGTTAGTTAGTTAGTTAGTTAGTTAGTTAGTTAGTTAGTTAGTTAGTAGTTAGTTAGTTAGTTAGTTAGTTAGTTAGTTAGTTAGTTAGTTAGTTAGTTAGTTAGTTAGTTAGTTAGTTAGTTAGTTAGTTAGTTAGTTAGTAGTTAGTTAGTTAGTAGTTAGTTAGTTAGTTAGTTAGTTAGTTAGTTAGTTAGTTAGTTAGTTAGTTAGTTAGTTAGTTAGTTAGTTAGTTAGTTAGTTAGTTAGTTAGTTAGTTAGTTAGTTAGTTAGTTAGTTAGTTAGTTAGTTAGTTAGTTAGTTAGTTAGTTAGTTAGTTAGTTAGTTAGTTAGTTAGTTAGTTAGTTAGTTAGTTAGTTAGTTAGTTAGTTAGTTAGTTAGTTAGTTAGTTAGTTAGTTAGTTAGTTAGTTAGTTAGTTAGTTAGTTAGTTAGTTAGTTAGTAGTTAGTTAGTTAGTTAGTTAGTTAGTTAGTTAGTTAGTTAGTTAGTTAGTTAGTTAGTTAGTTAGTTAGTTAGTTAGTTAGTTAGTTAGTTAGTTAGTTAGTTAGTTAGTTAGTTAGTTAGTTAGTTAGTTAGTTAGTTAGTTAGTTAGTTAGTTAGTTAGTTAGTTAGTTAGTTAGTTAGTTAGTTAGTAGTAGTTAGTTAGTTAGTTAGTTAGTTAGTTAGTTAGTTAGTTAGTTAGTTAGTTAGTTAGTTAGTTAGTTAGTTAGTTAGTTAGTTAGTTAGTTAGTTAGTTAGTTAGTTAGTAGTTAGTTAGTTAGTAGTTAGTTAGTTAGTTAGTTAGTTAGTTAGTTAGTTAGTTAGTTAGTTAGTTAGTTAGTTAGTTAGTTAGTTAGTTAGTTAGTTAGTAGTTAGTTAGTTAGTTAGTTAGTTAGTTAGTTAGTTAGTTATTTCGAAAATGTTCAATACTCACAGTGTCTTACCACCTCCAAACAACGGTAAAGCATATGTCTCTGAACTGGTACCATTCCGATATGTACGATCCACCAACATGGCAGTAAATTCACTATATATTATAACCACAGCCGGTAAAGTCAAAGCCTTAATGGCCGACATTATAAAACCAATAAATAACAAAAATACTTCGAGTGGTGTTGAAAATCGATACAAACGCCAAAAAGTAACGGGTTTGGAGGGTTCTAAACCCTCAGCCATAGGGTGGTCCAAAGAGGATTTCGATACCGACGAATCCTCACGATCCATTATGAATCTATAGAAAATTGCACATAAATAATAAAAAAAGAAAGCAATTATTGTATTTTTTTCTTTTTGTAATTCAATTATTTCAAATATTGAATATTTTTAACACATTTTTCTTTCGCTGTTTTATTTTCAAGAAGAGGTTAATTTAATTAAACTTTATGAACAAGTATGTATGCATGTACATATGTATGTCTTACGTAGATATGTATGTATGTACGTACATATGTATGTCTGTTTGATATGACTGATCAATTATTTTGTGTCAGTGTCTGAAATGTATTTTATTAAATTTTCATTTGCTGTTTGATGTTTCTCAATTATTATTTTTTATTTAGTTTTAAATGACCTTTAGGGTTAAAGTATTTTTTACTTTGTTTAAGCTTTTTGGATTATTTTTTGTTTTATTAATTAATCTTATTTTCCATTTTAAAGTGGAACGGTTTAAGTATATATTATCGTATTAGTTTCGATATAAGTTTTAACAAGAAACTTTTGAATTTATCAAATTCTTTGCTCTTTTCAGGTATGTCTAAATTGATACAACTACATACATAAAAATGTGAAAAATAATTTTCATCATCCTATGAGTAAGTCACATCAGTAATTAGAAACTTCTTTTAATTTTCTTAATTTTTCTAAATCAAAATTTGAATACATATAGCTCAAAATAGCAACTCGACTTAAGAAGAGATTGGTTGTCTTTATTTTATATAATGTTAAAGCAATACACGAATTCACCAAAGAACTGCGAGTTATCTAGCCTCAAGGGTTTCTATTTGATTAATCTAAAAGACTAATTTAGAACTGAAAAAAATTTTAAGAAAGCCCATTGTTTCAAAAGAAAAAATATATTTTTTTATTTTAGTCAATGAGATTCCACTAGATTAGATGAAAACCAGCAAGTTGGATATATGTATATAAAATCAGGGTCGAACTTTCTGGTGCTACAGTGAGATATTAAAAGCTTTAAGTTGTAAAAGTTTTCAATGAAAGTTTAGAACAGTATTTAATAGTACCTTAAGCCTGGTACAGATCAATGTATATATGTGGAAACTCATGATAAAATCACTGTATCCTTTTGGGATATATTTGTCAAAGTAATAATCAAAAATTATTTCCCTCCACTTGACCTTTCCATCCATTAACATTTAATGAATATCAAAACTGCTCTGACTTTAAATAGAGCGGAAATTCAAAAAATCTTCTTTAATAGCGACTAACTGGTCCAACTTGCACGAAATGCTGGTTAACCAGTAACTAAAGAAACCTTTTATTTGCCGATTAATGGCGCAAAGATAATACAAGGGAACTCTAATATAATCGAATGGCCAAAAATAGAATGGCTGGTCCAACAATATTAATATTTCTAGGAAATTCAAAATGCTTTGGCCAATTCAAGTATGCAAAAGGCTATGACTATTTTGACTTTTGATAGTATTTATAAACGAAAGGGGGACTCTACAATAATGTAGCGTAATCATCGCTAAGAGATCTTATTAAATCAATATCTTGATCTGGGTTACAAGACCTAAGAGCTTCCTAATAAATTGGTATATCTAAGACAAAATAATAATAAAAATGTTTGCTTTAATGGCAAAGGAATGATTTATCTTACAGGACTTAAGAGCTTAATAATAAATTGGTCGATTTTGGACGATTTGAAGTAGCGCAAAACTATGTTCATTATTATGCCGATTGGACCGTCAAACATAATCAAGAAATGGACGATTGAGTTAGAAATTCTAAAGATGTGCTTTAATTGCTCATAGACGAACATCTATTGGGATCTTGTCTTTCCATTTAAGGACGGTTTGACGAATCTAGATTAACAAAGGTCAAACAATTTTTAACTCAAAAACTTTTCTAAAAGATTGAGTTACAGACTTTAAATCCGTATCTTTACATCTGGAGATATCGTGTCATAAATATTTTGACTATATTTGAGACGTTATAAGAGCGCGAAGATAACATTATTTATGATATCTGTTAGGTCACCAGAAAGTAAAATCTGTTGACTTCAAAATAAAGGTTTATCCTCGGTTATATATTCTTCCTTCTTGAAGATATCTTAATCTAGAGCTAGAAACAATCATAAATTGCTGAAAACTGAATAGTTTATTACATTTCGTCTCAATTTTATAATAAACTTAAAGTCTATAGTTATTTTAAACTTTAGGTTAAGATATCTCTAAGAAGGCGAAAGATATAACAGAGTTTTGAACCTTAACGGATTGGACAAACTTTGCGTTATTATTATGACCAAGACAGGGAAACTTTAATAGTGACATCTTGAAAACCTGATGTGATATTCTGAGATTCAAATTCAGCGTAATTTAATCCTTTAGAAAAGATTTTCGAAGTGATATAGACAATGTGGAACTTGATAAAAATTTGATAAGAATAGTTCATAATCATATTCTTATTCTCTCTGGATGTTTCACTTTGCAAGAGCGTAAACTAAATGGATGTATTGTACGTAAGTTCCGAGGAGTACTTTAATAATTCACTTTTACGTTTAAAGGTTAAACGTTATGGTTTTCTTAATATTATTTTAAAAAGAGTCCTTTAAACACTAGTTTTCTTTAATATATTTTTTATAAAGATTTAATATTTTATATTTTTTTTGTTGTAATTACTTTTGTAAGGATTCGTTTTAAGTAAATTCTTTTCACACGATCACTCAATCCTTTATATTACTTGCATATCCTTTTGAACGTTTTAATTTCAATATTTATATTGTCTTTTTTGACCTTTTCCAAAGATCGCTTAAAAGTTTTTCACGACACGACGTTTCAACACCAACTGAGAACTATTCTATAAATGATCATGTTTAAATTAAATGTTCACAGACCAAGATCTCACATAACGTTGAACATCATGAAAAACTGAATGTATGAAAATATTTAATTGATTTGCATTCATTTGTAAATTAAGTGTCGTAGAAACGCACTGAGCGTTAATTGAAAATGGTTGGTGAGTAAGTAAGTGAGTTGTAATTAAAATGGTAAGGATTTGCTCTTGTTGTGATCGTATTAGTTGTAAATGTACTATTAGGTTTGTAAATTTAATATTATAATACTTTTAAATATGACTTAATTAGATTCTCCAATTTTACCCAAATTTAGTTCTCAACTTAACCTTATTCTTTTTGCTCGTGGTATAGTTGTACATCACTATTAAATATCATTAAAAGAGTAAACTATTTTCGAAATTCATTTAAGAGAGCATATTACATATTAAACGATCATGCAAATTTCACATTCTGATTCATGTTCACAGGCAAAGTGATCGGTCATATTAAGCGAGTCTTTAAATCGAAAACATTTTTTGTGGAGTGTCATTTATTAACTTTGATTTGTTTCACTTTTATTTTAGATCAAACAGCAAATTGACCCTATCTTTAGTTGTGCGATCATAACTCGTAGATTTTCTAATCAATCAACCAATCAATCAATAATATGCTAATTTTTGAAAATTTTATTAGTTTAGACTTTTGTTCATATTAAGCGATGACCGAAAATAAACTAAGTAAAAATTTGTGTAGGAATTCTTTGTATCATATTTTGCAATAGTTAATTTAATAATATTTTTTAAACTGTCACGTAGGGTCAGGTTATTTTCAGAACTAATTTATGCTCAATTCAAAAAGTATTTATTTTTATATTGGTGTGCCGGAAAATTTTAACGTCCTTGTACTTTAAACGTTTAATAATTAACCTTTAGAAGTATTGTGTAAATTACTCAGCCAAAATTTTGTATTACTAAGTAAATGGTGATATCAGTGAAATCTAATTATATGTAATGAGTGACAGAAGTAGCTTTCAATTACATACATATATAATCATTCTTGAGTGATATACTACAATAAATCGTGAGTTAAATTGGATTTATGATTCAAATTCTTTCTGATCAAACGAAGTCGTCAGCAAGACCCTATATACATATATTGGACGAAGGAAGTAAATCTAACTCTTGCCGCTGTGGTTGATTTAACACAAATTCTGATAGTGTTGTTAAATGTGACCCTTAGGGTTCACTAGAAAGAAGGTCCTCAAAGATCTTGCCAGCAGTACTTGGTGTATGGATAAATTAAACTTGTTAGCTACATATACTTGTGGTTACTTATGCTGCTCCAGTGCGTTCACCTTTGCTTAATAAAATTCTAATTCTAACATGGAAAGCTGTCAAAGTGCTGCCCTAAGGACTGGTTACAAATTACCTAGGAACATCACTTACATCGGGAAATCAAGGAGCACAACGTCAATTTGACTAAAATATTCCTATTGGTTTGTTGCCGTGAGAGTTATCACAACTTTAACATGACATTTGACATGACATTTGGATGATCCCCCGAAGAATGACCTTCGCATATATCATATCAATAGATTATTTCTCGTCTATGGCAGCTTCTATCGATATTCTACGACTAACGTCGTACTTAGAAGCCATGCAGTGCCCATAGCAGACACTTAAGAAAATTTGCCGCGGAAATCAAGAGATTTTCTGCTACAACTAAGGCTAAAAATCGAATGAACCCCTTAACTGGATTATTGAATAGGTTCACCCATCTTGGTTTGATTGCAATCTCAGGGAAAAGATGTGCTACAAAGACTTCTAACCTGCCGGGAAGTATATATAAATTAGTTTTGAACGAAATCAGTCATATATTACAAGATACAACATGAATGCCATGCCGATGAGCCAGATCGCTATCGGGCATATTATGTGCTCCTTTATATGGGAAATTTCCTTAGCTTCCTGTTACTAAGAGATCTAATATCTGGAATAACACCACTCCCATGATATTTGAATCTTATATCAATGAAAGCTTGACAATGACAATGAAAGAATCTCAAAATTTCACTGTCCTCTCCGAAGACTGAAGCACGTCTTCAAAATTTGTATAGTTTTGGGCGTAGTCTTGGGTGTCCACTCAGAATACGCACTTCATACTTATCTCATTCTAAACGTCGGACTTGCTCATTCTGAGGAAGCTTCTTATTCCCCTCTCATTGGGGTTACCTTATAGGATCTTTGTGGTTGTTGCTGCAGCGATACGTGTTAAGTCAGTATTGCTGAATTGAAAATCTTTGGCCGTTGTTCCCTGAACTACGAATTGTTTTGGTGCATAGAACCAATTGTCGTGCGAACAGATTTTCGCGGTTCTATCCTCGTTTTTATCATTATAAGTGACCGTTTTCGTTTATTCCCCAATATCAAAGCTAACCTCTGGTGGAGTATTTCCAATATGTATGAAATCTATTTTACTTTGTTCCTATTTGTTAAAAATCTGATTTTGAAACTTTGGGATTTCTCATTCGATATGTCTGTCTATGGGATTCTTATTGATATAAATAGAAGTAATCTTAAGGGGGTCTGATGTACTTCCATCAAGATGAAGGCTTTGTTTGTCCGAATACTTACATATACATATGTATCGATACCAATGCTTTGAGTAAACACTTCAAATTATCAGTTTACGATTTCCAATTTGTATAAAATTTTGATTGGTTTAGAACAGAGAGCAAAATGTTTGGGGCTTTATCCAGAATAATTGTTAGAAATCGTTTACAGGGGACTTGTAGTCTAGAAGTTTCAAACTAATAAATGGTCTCCAACCAGGCTAAAAACTGGGTTTTTTCAAACATCAGAACACGATATCTACAAAACCTGATGTTTTTAACATATGATGAGATTCGGATTCAGGGGGTCCTTATACTTATACCAAGGCTTTGAGTAAATTCTTCAAATTATCAGTTTATGATTTCCAATTTGTATAAAATTTTGATTAGTTTAGATCAGAGAGCAAAATGTTTGGGGCTTTATACAGAATAATTGTTAGAAATCGTTTACTGGGGATTTGTAGTCTAGAAGTTTCAAACTAACAAATGGTCTCCAACCAGGCCAAAAACTGGGTTTTTATCAAACATCAGAACACGATATATACAAAACCTGATGTTTTTAAGATATGATGAGATTCGGATTCAGGAAGTCCTTATACTTTCTTCGATCTTTAAATCTCATTTAACAAACCTTCTTTGTCTCATATATAGAAAAATTATCTTCAATTTCTTATTCTAAATATATAATTAACTTTATTATTACAGACATACTATATAGTAACATATACACATTATTTAACATTATTATCCTTTTCAAGGATATTAAAAGACTAAAATTTAAAATACAAATACATTTAGTACATAGTTCTTTACAAAAAAAAATAATTATAATAATTTAAGATTCATGTCACAACCTTTTTTTGTCTTTTTTTAATGTAAAATTAAATTAAAACTACAATTTTTTTTAGAAAATGGATGGATTCATGGCTTGAGTTAACTATTATCTTTCTATAGATTTTTTTCTTTGCAATTATTGTTAAAAATTTAATATTATACAGTTAAACATAAACTTCTCCAGTTTTCGGTTCGGGCGGACGTTTAGCTAACGTTGAAGGCGCCGAAGTGGCTGTAGTGGTATTAGTAGTATTTGTAGGATTTTTATCTTTAGCACTAAGTGTTATCGTTGCTGTGGCATTATTCTGTAAGTTGCTGTCCGTTGAGTCCTCGGGACGTCCCTCTGAACGCATAGAATGTCTACGTTCTAATAGATATGAATCGGATATGTTTATATTTAAATTTCCATTGAAACTATTATTACGCGATATATTAGCTCCACCATTTAATGGTTTCACCGATAATAACGCCGTGGCGGTATTATTATTATCCAGTTTATCGTTGAAATTCAAATCGGTTATTGATACCGCTGAGGGAGTACGTTGTATAGACAGGGAAACCGGTATGCTGGTTATAACATCATTGGCATCAAAATTAGATGTGCTGGTGGTAATAGTGGGTATTTGGGAAGTGGAAATTGGTAGAATATTTAAAGTAGCTGAGGTGTCCGTGGGACTGGTAGTAACCGTAAAGGGGAAAGATAAAGTTGTTATATTGCTGGTGACAGGAATGGCTGTAAACACATTTAATCAAAATTATTACAACTGTTTAAGAATCTATAGATTTTTTAAAACTTACAATTAGTTAAATTTGTTGGTAATACTGCCTGGGCCAATGCCGCCGTATTCGGATGTCCTGGAATCAAAGTATTATTTGACGATGAACTATCCATTTCTTTAATCGGTGATAATAATAAAGTGCCCAATACTTGACCATCTTGCCCGTTATTTGTTGTTGTGCTTGTATAAGGATACATAGTGGTTTGTGTAGTTAATGGTGGTGCCATAATAACCGCTGTATTTGCATTGGTTGCTATAAATAAGTGCATTGATTGAGGGTTTTTGTTGGGTTTTAATGTCAATATTTTTAATTTCAATATAAGTGCTTAAACTACGTGATATGATTGAAAAGCTTAGAAAATTTAAAAACAAATATTACCATTTGCCATATCTTTATCCAAAGATTCCTTAGTAACATCAGGAGTTGGTATACGAGGTCGTGTTTTTGAGGTATTAACATTTAAACCATTCAAACGAGAATCTACATTGAGAAATTTTAAGGCGGGAGGAAAAAATGAAAGTAAAAAAAAACCAAAAGAAAAAAACAAAAATCACATGAAAAATAGATGAAGTTTTATAGTGTACAGTTTGAAAGAAAATTTGGAATTTTGGAGACAGTAAATTTTAAAAAGTGATAACTTAAGATTTAGAATTTCTTCGTATAGTCTTTTGGCACTCTTCGGGGTAAAGGAATAATTTCTATTTTAAGCCTATTTTCTAAACTTTAAGCTTTAATTTTAAAGGAATTCTAGTTCAATGAATAATGTTAAACATTTAAAACTCTCAAAACTCTAGCGGAGCTAAATGTTAACAAACTGAAGATTCTAAATTCTGATCACATTAGTTATGATGCTCAGATTTCTGAACTTAGCTTACTGCGACTTTTGAGCTTAAAAATAGCAAAGAGGATGATAGACTTGTCTAGTCTAGTCTATAGTCTAGTCTATAGTCTAGTCTATAGTCCTAGTCTATAGTCTAGTCTATAGTCTAGTCTATCTAGTCTATTAGTCTATAGTCTAGTCTAGTCTAGTCTATAGTCTAGTCTATAGTCTAGTCTATAGTCTAGTCTAAGTCTAGTCTATAGTCCTAGTCTATAGTCTAGGTCCTATAGTCTAGTCTATAGTCTAGTATAGTCTATAGTCTTCGCTAGTCTATATAGTCTAGTCTATAGTCTAGTCTATAGTCTAGTCTATAGTCTAGTCTATAGTCTAGTCTATAGCTAGTCTATAGTCCTATTCTAGTCATCTATAGTTCTAGTCTATAGTCTAGTCTATAGTCTAGTCTATGTCTAGTCTAGTCATAGTCCTAGTCTATAGTCTGTCTATAGTCTAGTCATAGTCTAGTCTATAGTCTAGTCTATAGTCTAGTCTATAGTCTAGTCTATAGTCTAGTCTATAGTCTAGTCTATAGTCTAGTCTATAGTCTAGTCTATAGTCTAGTCTATAGTCTAGTCTATAGTCTAGTCCTATAGTCTAGTCTATGAGTCTAGTCTATAGTCTAGTCTATAGTCTGTCTATAGTCTAGTCTATAGTCTAGTCTATAGTCTAGTCTATAGTCTAGTCTATAGTCTAGTCTATAGTCTAGTCTATAGTCTAGTCTAGAGTCTAGTCTATAGTCTAGTCTATAGTCTAGTCTATAGTCTAGTTAAGTCTAGTCTATAGTCTAGTCTATAGTCTAGTCTATAGTCTAGTCTATAGTCTAGTCTATAGTCTAGTCTATAGTCTAGTCTATAGTCTGTAGTCTATAGTCTAGTCTATAGTCTAGTCTATAGTATAGTCTATAGTCTAGTCCTATAGTCTAGTCTATAGTCTAGTCTATAGTCTAGTCTATAGTCTAGTCTATAGTCTAGTCTATAGTCTAGTCTATAGTCTAGTCTATAGTCTAGTTTATAGTCTAGTCTATAGTCTAGTCTATAGTCTAGTCTATAGTCTAGTCTATAGTCTAGTCTATAGTCTAGTCTATAGTCTAGTCTATAGTCTAGTCTATAGTCTAGTCTATAGTCTAGTCTATAGTCTAGTCTATAGTCTAGTCTATAGTCTAGTCTATAGTCTAGTCTATAGTCTAGTCTATAGTCTAGTCTATAGTCTAGTCTATAGTCTAGTCTATAGTCTAGTCTATAGTCTAGTCTATAGTCTAGTCTATAGTCTAGTCTATAGTCTAGTCCATAGTCTAGTCCATAGTCTAGTCCATAGTGTAGTCTATAGTCTAGTCTATAGTCTAGTCTATAGTCTAGTCTATAGTCTAGTCTATAGTCTAGTCTATAGTCTAGTCTATAGTCTAGTCTATAGTCTAGTCTATAGTCTAGTCAATAGTCTAGTCTATAGTCTAGTCTAGTCTATAGCCTAGTTTATAGTCTAGTCTATAGTCTAGTCTATAGCCTAGTCTATAGTCTAGTCTATAGTCTAGTCTATAGTCTAGTCTATAGTCTAGTCTATAGTCTAGTCTATAGTCTAGTCTATAGTCTAGTCTATAGTCTAGTCTATAGTCTAGTCTATAGTCTAGTCTATAGTCTAGTCTATAGTCTAGTCTATAGTCTAGTCTATAGTCTAGTCTATAGTCTAGTCTATAGTCTAGTCTATAGTCTGGTCTATAGTCTAGTCTATGGTCTAGTCTATAGTCTAGTCTATAGTCTAGTCTATAGTCTAGTCTATAGTCTAGTCAATAGTCTAGTCTATAGTCTAGTCTAGTCTATAGTCTAGTTTATAGTCTAGTCTATAGTCTAGTCTATAGCCTAGTCTATAGTCTAGTCTATAGTCTAGTCTATAGTCTAGTCTATAGTCTAGTCTATAGTCTAGTCTATAGTCTAGTCTGTAGTCTAGTCTATAGTCTATACTATAGTCTAGTCTGTAGTCTAGTCTATAGTCTATACTATAGTCTAGTCTATAGTCTAGTCTATAAGCTAGTCTATAGTCTAGTCTATAGTGTAGTCTATAGTCTAGTCTATAGTCTAGTCTATAGTCTGGTCTATAGTCTAGTCTATGGTCTAGTCTATGTCTAGTCTAGTCTATAGTCTAGTCTATAGTCTAGTCTATAGTCTAGTCTATAGTCTAGTCAATAGTCTAGTCTATAGTCTAGTCTATAGTCTAGTCTATAGTCTAGTCTATAGTCTGGTCTATAGTCTAGTCTATAGTCTAGTCTATAGTCTAGTCAATAGTCTAGTCTATAGTCTAGTCTAGTCTATAGTCTAGTCTAGTCTATAGTCTAGTCTAGTCTATAGTCTAGTCTATAGTCTAGTCTATAGTCTAGTCTATAGTCTAGTCTGTAGTCTAGTCTATAGTCTATACTATAGTCTAGTCTATAGTCTAGTCTATAAGCTAGTCTATAGTCTAGTCTATAGTGTAGTCTATAGTCTAGTCTATAGTCTAGTCTATAGTCTGGTCTATAGTCTAGTCTATGGTCTAGTCTATAGTCTAGTCTATAGTCTAGTCTATAGTCTAGTCTATAGTCTAGTCAATAGTCTAGTCTATAGTCTAGTCTAGTCTATAGTCTAGTCTAGTCTATAGTCTAGTTTATAGTCTAGTCTATAGTCTAGTCTATAGCCTAGTCTATAGTCTAGTCTATAGTCTAGTCTATAGTCTAGTCTATAGTCTAGTCTATAGTCTAGTCTATAGTCTAGTCTATAGTCTAGTCTATAGTCTAGTCTATAGTCTAGTCTATAGTCTAGTCTATAGTCTAGTCTATAGTCTAGTCTATAGTCTAGTCTATAGTCTAGTCTATAGTCTAGTCTATAGTCTAGTCTATAGTCTAGTCTATAGTCTAGTCTATAGTCTAGTCTATAGTCTAGTCTATAGTCTAGTCTATAGTCTAGTCTATAGTCTAGTCTATAGTCTAGTCTATAGTCTAGTCTATAGTCTAGTCTATAGTCTAGTCTATAGTCTAGTCTATAGTCTAGTCTATAGTCTAGTAATAGTCTAGTCTATAGTCTAGCCTATAGTCTAGTCTATAGTCTAGTCTATAGTCTAGTCTATAGTCTAGTCTATAGTCTCTTCTATAGTCTAGTCTATAGTCTATAGTCTATAGTCTAGTCTATAGTCTAGTCTATAGTCTAGTCTACAGTCTAGTCTATAGTCTAGTCTATAGTCTAGTCTATAGTCTAGTGTATAGTCTAGTCTATAGCCTAGTCTAGTCTAGTCTAGTCTAGTCTATAGTCTAGTCTATAGTCTAGTCTATAGTCTAGTCTAGTCTATAGTCTAGTCTATAGTCTAGTCTATAGTCTAGTCTATAGTCTAGTCTATTAGTCTAGTCTATAGTCTAGTCTATAGTCTAGTCTATAGTCTAGTCTATAGCCTAGTCTATAGTCTAGTCTATAGTCTAGTCTATAGTCTAGTCTATAATCTAGTCTATAGTCTAGTCTATAGTCTAGTCTATACTATAGTCTAGTCTATAGTCTAGTCTTTAGTCTAGTCTATGGTCTAGTCTATAGTCCAGTCTATAGTCTAGTCTATAGTCTAGTCTATAGTCTAGTCTATAGTCTAGTCCATATCTAGTCTATAGTCTAGTCTATAGTCTAGTCTATAGTCTAGTCTATAGTCTAGTCTATTCTAGTCTATAGTCTAGTCTATAGTCTAGTCTATAGTCTAGTCTATAGTCTAGTCTATAGTCTAGTCTATAGTCTAGTCTATAGTCTAGTCTATAGTCTAGTCTATAGTCTAGTTTATAGTCTAGTCTATAGTCTAGTTTATAGTCTAGTCTATAGTCTAGTCTATAGCCAAGTAATTTAGGGGATTTTTATGATCGATTATACCATAACCTTGAACTAGTCAGAAACCAATTTTACTATATTAGGTGCAAACAAAACCCTCCCCACTTACTTTGCTTAATCAGCTGGCGATGAGCACGCAAAGACTTGCGATGCACAAATTTATCGTAAAAGCTAGGCTTTGACTGCAATGGTTGCTGCTGATGTTGTTGAGCATTTTGTTGCTGTTGTTGTTGTTGCTGCTGCTGTTGTTGCACCATACTCATGGGTAAACCTGACTCGGGACTGGAGTAAACTGAATTTAAACGATTGCGATTAAAAGCAATACCGCCCGATGAGTAAGCGGTAGATTGACTGCGCATCGAACCCATGCGAGAAAGTTGACGAACAAACCACATTTTCTTTCGTCTTTCCACCATGGGGGTGTCAACACTCTCCTATAGATTTAAAAAATAAGTGTAATTAAAATAATAAAATAGTTTAAAACAAAAACCTACATAATCAGCATAAACATCATCGGATATAACACGTTTACCACCGCCCGGTACAATATTCGCATACATGGCATCTTCTTTTTTAACTTTATAATTCTCCGCTGAACCCTTCGGCTCATCTTTGCGATAATGCTCAGAGGCTACTGTATAGGGTAAATCTTTCGGCACCACACATTCCCAATACTGATCACGCAATAGTTCGGGATGTTCTTCATGCATTTCATCGACAATCATGTAAGCGGCCTAGAATTAAATTAAGAGAAAATTTTTAAATTAAAATAATTAAATGAATAATTAAATTTTGTTTTTAATTAAATATTATTTAAAAATTTAGCATGATACAGGTAGGGGAGTATTTAAAATTGTAGCCTTGTTTATATGCCATAGCAGCTAACATGCAGGCAAGGAATTTGAGAAAAATATAATGCCGCGTAAAACCGGTAACGTTGAGGTCTACGTCATATTTGTTTGTTATTATTTGAAGCAATAGCTGAGGTTTGTATGCGCTACATCACTATATGTATGTTATGAGTTGTTGCTGAAATATATTACACCCAGAAATCAACCATGAAAGTGATGATATCGATTTATGACTTCTTCACTTAAATAATTCCCTCCGACTAATACTTTTTTCCTCATAAAAATCTTAAATATTTTGTTATTTCTTTTAAAATTCAGTTCTGAAAGGACCACAATCACCCATAGCTCTCATATAAGGCCCTTTCAAGCTTTGCAAAGATCGGCTCATAATAAATTCTGCTTCAGATCTACCTCTGCAGTTCTGGCTTAATTCTAGTACAACTGTAGTTCAGTTCTAGTTCAGTTCTAGTTCAGTTCTAGTTCAGTTCTAGATCAGTTCTAGTTCAGTTCTAGTTCAGTTCTAGTTCAGTTCTAGTTCAGTTCTAGTTCAGTTCTAGTTCAGTTCTAGTTCAGTTCTAGTTCAGTTCTAGTTCAGTTCTAGTTCAGTTCTAGTTCAGTTCTAGTTCAGTTCTAGTTCAGTTCTAGTTCAGTTCTAGTTCATTACTAGTTCAGTTCTAGTTCAGTTCTAGTTCAGTTCTAGTTCAGTTCTAGTTCAGTTCTAGTTCAGTTCTAGTTCAGTTCTAGTTCAGTTCTAGTTCAGTTCTAGTTCAGTTCTAGTTCAGTTCTAGTTCAGTTCTAGTTCAGTTCTAGTTCAGTTCTAGTTCAGTTCTAGTTCAGTTCTAGTTCAGTTCTAGTTCAGTTCTAGTTCAGTTCTAGTTCAGTTCTAGTTCAGTTCTAGTTCAGTTCTAGTTCAGTTCTAGTTCAGTTCTAGTTCAGTTCTAGTTCAGTTCTAGTTCAGTTCTAGTTCAGTTCTAGTTCAGTTCTAGTCCAGTTCTAAAATTTTTAATTTGTTGTTTAATCGTACAATGACTTATATTTAGGGTGTCATAAGGTCGACCAAACCCAACTATATTTTCCTTCATATTTTAGTTGTTGTTTATTCGCTGGCGTTGTGATAATAACGATAATATTATTATTATTTTTATTATGATTATTTTTGTTTAATTTTAACAATATATTTTGCATTGTGTGAAGGTGTGAATTTTTGCAAAATATAAAATTTAAATAATGAACCTTCAACATTTATTAAAAGCTATAAAATAATGTACCTTATTTTTTTGATATTATTTAAAGTTAACAACAAAACCTTTTGAACATGTCCTTCAGTTATTTTTACGAGTTCAATTGTTTATACATACATACATACATATGTATATATTTACATACATATGTTTGTACTGAAACAAATTGTTAGTTTGTCAAGTAATTGTTAAAATATAATTAATTTTGTTTGACATATTGTTGTATGATTGTCTTACTTTGCTCCTTAATATATTTTTTAAAATTTTTTGTTTTAGCAAATTTCATTGTTTTAAAAATATTCTTAATTATATTTATTTTTTTAACTATTCACAGATTTATTATTATAAATGTTAGATAAATTACGCAGTTTTAAACCTTGACTGTATTTATAATCAATTTTATAAAATTTTGTATACGAAATTATTTTTGTTGTTTTTTAATGCAAAAGAATTTTAACCGCAACTTAAAATGACATTGCAAAAAGTGTTTAAATGGATAATTTTATCGATTTCTTTATTGAAAATTATTTAACCTTAGAGGTGTTGAATATGTGAAAAATTTTTCAGTTTTTCCATTAATTCCGCAAGTGTTATGTATTTAGTCATGAAGTGTAATGATATGTCTGTTTTATTCAATCGGCGATCCCCCAAGATCCTTCTAAAGTGAATTTGTCAGTTCTGACTCATTCATAAAATAATAAGATTTAACAACAAATTTTTAATTACGATTTTTCAGAAAGCCTGATGAGATAGGCAAAGAGACTAGACTATAGACTAGACTATAGACTAGACTGTAGACTAGACTATAGACTAGACTGTAGACTAGACTATAGACTAGACTATAGACTAGACTAAAGACTAGACTATAGACTAGACTATAGACTAGACTATAGACTAGACTAAAGACTAGACTATAGACTAGACTATAGATTAGACTATAGCCCAGACTATAGACTAGACAATAGACTAGACTATAGACTAGACTATAGACTAGACTATAGACTAGACCATAGACTAGACTATAGATTAGACTATAGACTAGACTATAGACTAGACTATAGACTAGACTATAGACTAGCTAGACTATAGACTAGACTATAGACTAGACTATAGACTAGACTATAGACTAGACTATAGACTAGACTATAGACTAGACTATAGACTAGACTATAGACTAGACTATAGACTAGACTATAGACTAGACTATAGACTAGACTATAGACTAGACTATAGACTAGACTATAGACTAGACTATAGACTAGACTATAGACTAGACTATAGACTAGACTATAGACTAGACTATAGACTAGACTATAGACTAGACTATAGACTAGACTATAGACTAGACTATAGACTAGACTAGACTATAGACTAGACTATAGACTAGACTATAGACTAGACTATAGACTAGACTATAGACTAGACTATAGACTAGACTATAGACTAGACTATAGACTAGACTATAGACTAGACTATAGACTAGACTATAGACTAGACTATAGACTAGACTATAGACTAGACTATAGACTATAGACTAGACTAGACTAGACTTTAGACTAGACTATAGACTAGACTATAGACTAGACTATAGACTAGACTATAGACTAGACTATAGACTAGACTATAGACTAGACTATAGACTAGACTATAGACTAGACTATAGACTAGACTATAGACTAGACTATAGACTAGACTATAGACTAGACTATAGACTAGACTATAGACTAGACCATAGACTGGACTATAGACTAGACTATAGACTAGACTATAGACTAGACTATAGACTAGACTATAGACTAGACTATAGACTAGACTATAGACTAGACTATAGACTAGACTATAGACTAGACAATAGACTAGACTATAGACTAGACTATAGACTAGACTATAGACTAGACTATAGACTAGACTATAGACTAGACTATAGACTAGACTATAGACTAGACTATAGACTAGACTATAGACTAGACTATAGACTAGACTATAGACTAGACTATAGACTAGACTATAGACTAGACTATAGACTAGACTATAGACTAGACTATAGACTAGACTATAGACTAGACTATAGACTAGACTATAGACTAGACTATAGACTAGACTATAGACTAGACTATAGACTAGACTATAGACTAGACTATAGACTAGACTATAGACTAGACTATAGACTAGACTATAGACTAGACTATAGACTAGACTATAGACTAGACTAGACTAGACTATCGACTAGACTATAGACTAAGAACTATAGAAGAACTATGACTAGACTAGAACGTAGACTATAGGATCTAGACTATAGACTAGAGGCCTTATAGACGAGACTATAGACGAAGGTCTATAGGCCTAGACTATAGACTGAATATAGACTAGACCTATAGACTAGACTATAGACTAGACGGGTATAGACTAGACTATAGACTAGACTAATGACTAGACATATAAGACTAGAACTATAGAATAGAACGATAGAACTATACTATAGGAAATAGACTGATGCTAAGACTATAGACTATAGACTAGACTATAGACTAGACTAGAGACTAGACTATAGACTAGACTATAGACGAGACTATAGACTAGACTATAGACTAGACTATAGACTAGACTATAGACTAGACTATAGACTAGACTATAGACTAGACTATAGACTAGACTATAGACTAGACTATAGACTAGACTATAGACTAGACTATAGACTAGACTATAGACTAGACTATAGACTAGACTATAGACTAGACTATAGACTAGACTATAGACTAGACTATAGACTAGACTATAGACTAGACTATAGACTAGACTATAGACTAGACTATAGACTAGACTATAGACTAGACTATAGACCTATAGACTAGACTATAGACTAGACTATAGACTAGACTATAGACTAGACTATAGACTAGACTATAGACTAGACTATAGACTAGACTATAGACTAGACTATAGACTAGACTATAGACTAGACTATAGACTAGACTATAGACTAGACTATAGACTAGACTATAGACTAGACTATAGACTAGACTATAGACTAGACTATAGACTAGACTATAGACTAGACTATAGACTAGACTATAGACTAGACTATAGACTAGACTATAGACTAGACTATAGACTAGACTATAGACTAGACTATAGACTAGACTATAGACTAGACTATAGACTAGACTATAGAGACTAGACTAGACTATAGACTAGACTATAGACTAGACTATAGACTAGACTATAGACTAGACTATAGACTAGACTATAGACTAGACTATAGACTAGACTATAGACTAGACTATAGACTAGACTATAGACTAGACTATAGACTAGACTACAGACTAGACTATAGACTAGATTATGTTCTTACTTAAAAATCCAACTCAAGAAATTGCAATTTTACGATTTAACTTGATTTTACTTAAAGTGTGTGGTTTTTATGAAGAAAACACTTACATGACTCTAATGACTAATAAATTTACGACTTAGTTTTTTAATTTTTTTATTAACTATTACTACAAAATTTTATGTCAATTTCACTAAACAAATACATTATTACTTAAATGTATTTGTTTCCTAAAGATAAATAACAATTATTAAAAAATTTTGTCTACACCCTTGAAAATTTAAATGAAATTTAACGATGCAACTAATTGCTAC